TCATCACAAAACTTAAACATTTTATCAAGGTATTCAAAAGTTCCCCAATTTACCTGTCTATTTAGACCCAGGCGAACAGAAACACAAGACTAGGTTCCTGAACCTAACAGTTCATTATAAAGAAATAGATTCCAGTTATAGGTAAACAATTATGAACTGTTGACATAAAACTCTACCAGTTAAAACTCGAATCCTCTTAAAAAAAAGCCCTACGTATACAAATACAGACAAATTAAAAAAAAATAAATTGATGTTATGGGTGAAGGGGAACAAAACCAGAAAGTCAGTTCAGTAACCTCTGCCCATAAGTTTGCTGAGATGACCCTTTTGCTTGCAAGGACTAACCAGTAGTCTAAACACCACATACAACAAATTTCAGTAAATTGCTTTTAAGGAGCGCAGCATCCCTTCTCCAATCTTTCATTTCAAAAACAATCCTTTTCCTATTTCAGTCTGCAATCAAAATCAGAAAAAAAAAGACAAAACGATATGGCTTTTACATTAATAACCATAAATCATAGTAAGATAGATTGGGTTTAGCAATGAGGTTAAGCATACCCTAATCTGGGCATAACTAGTCCAATATGGGCAAAGACACTGTTTTGAGCCTTCTTGCTAGGAACCAATGTAATACCTCTAAGGCTGTATGTTTAACGTGAAAAAGCTACATTTGTAGGTCGAGGGAGACACCCCTGGATACTGTGTACTGTACTTAACCAAATTGATCTACAGTACACTGTACTGAATTCAACGGCTGCGGTGATGCCTCATCCACCATCTCAAGAACCAGTGACAACCTTGGCATGGCCACTTTTAGGAGCCCATGCTGGAATTGCATGAAACCCGAGGTTAAGTGCAACAATGCAGGATCTGGAGCCCAGGTAAGTGAGGTGGCCTCATTGGGGCCAGTCTGGTGGGCCCTGGTACAGTGGGAAGGGCAGGGTTTCAGTCTGAAGGACAGAAGGGACTCTTCTGGCTGGTCTGCCCTTGTCTCCAGTCAGGTCTTTGATGCGGCACAGGATGCTGGAATCTGAGGATCAGTACCCCCAACCCACGGCCACAGGTCGGCCCACCAGGGCAAAATGACGCCCTTAAATATGCCTACGTTTGTAACTGATGAGCTTCAAGTAGTCGAGGGGCAGGATGTCCAGCTTCGACCATCCTCCCTTGAATGAACTTCCTATGATGAGGAGCTCCCTACCTAACCTGAATAAATGGCCCTCCCAAATTCACTGCTGAGGGGAGAGGGTGGAATTAAAATGTAATATAGTATTGTGCTTTTGGAAAAGAAATTTGAGCCAATGGTCATGCACTTGAGGACATGTACAGATAAAATATGCAAAAACTTCCAGCTTTGCCAGCTCCCTTCTAATATTCATCCATAAATTTGTGGCAGCAGCCAAGCAGCCAAACTGATGTATCAATGGTTTTCATAGAATCATAGAATCCCTACAGTGTGGAAGCAGGCCATTCGGCCCATTGAGTCCACACCGACTCTCCAAACATCAGCCCACCCAGACCCATTCTCCTACCCTATCCACTGCATTTCCCATGGCTAATCCACCTAGCCTGCACATTCCTGGACACTATGGGCAATTTAGTATGGCCAATCCACCTAACCTGCACATCTTTGGATAGTTTCTGATTGACAATATAGGATGTTTATTCATCTGACAAGTGGTTGTATGTAGAGGATCTGGCAAAGGACTGTCTTAGAGGTTTCTAATCCTTGCTCAATGAAGGTGACTCCCTTCCCAAAGGGAAGGTGAAAGAATGAGTATCCAAGGTTTATTGACATAGGTTTTTGCAGAAGTATGAGGAGATAGTTTTTTTGCACTTACGAGAAATGAGATTTGGAGGTAATCAAATATTGGAGCAGAGAGAAAAATAACAATGCTGCTGAAATATTATTCCTTTGCAGCAAAATCAAAAACAGTACCATCAAAGTGAAAGGTCTCCTTCAGTAAGACTATTGTCTGTTGAATTATCAACAGGGGGCGCTGAAAAGCCATATGCCACCCACACATATATTTTATCTATTGGACTGAGGTTACAATAGTATAGTTGAGTCAGAAAAAGGAAGCCTTATGAAAAAACTGCCGTTTTATTTTCCTCTTTGAGCATTTTGAGAAGTTTCAAATGCCTAAGTTTACTCAGTCTGTTGACAGAGAGGTGATGCATCACATCTATACAGACTGAATGCTGTTTAGCCAAGTTACATTTGTAAACAACTTGATGGAACATTAAACCCACTCAGGTTCGGCAAGTTTACCCATAACTTAAAACAGATTAAACAGACCTGAGTTAATTGACTGAAGTTTCCCCTTTAGATTTAGAATTAGAATTAAAATTTAATGTCACATGTACTTAGGTAGTCAGAAGTACAGGAGTACAGTGAAAAGTATACAATGTCGCCATTCCTGGAGCCATCATTGATACAAAGGTACCTAGGTAAAAAATCTTGGGTACAAAATAGGAAAATAAAGAAATAAGTTAAAAGTTCAACATTGTAGTTCTTCCCAGTATAAAGTAGAAAAATAAAGAAATACAGTTAAAAATTCAACTTTACAGTCCTTCTTAAGCCATGGGCCCACAGTCGCTCCATGCTGGTCTTTCCCCATGAGGGCCCACTCTCCCCCTGCACTGGACCCTCACTCCCCACGAGGACACGTACGTCCCTGCGCTGGGCTGAGACCCTCACCGCTGACGGCCATCTGGGCTCACCATCTGCTTCACTAACAAACATAGAATAATCAAATAAATTATAGTTTCTATGCAATTGTATTGATCACAAGAACGTAGGTGCTATAGAAAACCATTAGGTTACAAAAACAAAGTTGCTGGAAAAGCTCAGCAGGTCTAGCAGCATCTGTGGAGGAGAAAACAGAGTTAACGTTTCGGGTCCGGTGACCCTTCCTCAGAACTCTGGTTACATCAGGTTACAGTTGAGATGGGTATTCCTTTAGTCAGTGGCAATCACCTACATGTATTCAGACAGATTGTAAAATTCGTCATTTTATCTAGTATTATCTATGGTGTACATATACTGACTTATATGTGACTCCTTCTTACAAAGCATAAAGTTGTAGTGCCGGTTGGAGTGGATAAGTCGATATTAATATTGTCTCTGGTGATCGTGCAAAACAGGAGATTGCAAATTGACAGCTAATTTACATTATCTCTTATTGCACTTGCAATATATAAAATTCTAAAGGGCTTGACAGGGGAGGGTTAATGTCAGGTCACTGAGAGGCCATTTCCCTGACTGGAGATTCCAGAAAGTGTTCACAGTTTCAGGAAAAAAGATCTCTTTGAAAGGAGCACAAAATATGGTGCTGATTCATGAAAACCATTATTCGTGTTCGTTTCCAAGAAAAGAATTGCTTTGAAACTGCGCTAATTTTTAGCTTCAGTCAGAGGCATGACATCTGAATGTGTGCTTCTGCCTTGTTGCTTCTTAAACTTGCCTTTCTGGATTTTCTCCTTGTCTGGATAAATTATCACAACAGAAGGTTCCAAGAATTTGGGTCACTTTAATTGTTTGTGGCATTCTGGGTATCTGCTGGAAGGATAAAACCACAAATGAAGGCAAGCTCCAAAGCAATTTGATGCTCATCAAGCACAGGCAACTTTTATTGGCTTACATACATCCACAAGATGGAAGACAGGCGTAAATGGAAAGGATTCTTTTCCATAGTAAGATAGCTGGAGCAAGATGACCAGTAGGCTGCTCAAAGCTTTGCATCAAAAATTTGTGCACTGGTGACATGAAGGGAATTTTGCCTCTTGGAGGTACTAGATGATTCAGGAAAGTGGCAGTCTCACCTGTGGGTGGGTGTGTGCCACCAAGATGGTCATTGGCTAATTTAGCTTGGCAACAAGTGCCCGCACCAAAAACAACAGACCATAGCAATACCTGATAATCAGTTCATAGACAGTACTTATGGCAGAACTTGCCACTCACCTAATTTGTCTTTTTAGCCAGAAATGTGTCACTTGAAGTTATTGCATCCCTGGTAAATTTGATTTGCTGCATTGTAATCATTTTTCATCGTTGGAAGGATGATGGTGATGGATCATGAGTGCACAGTTGGTGTGGTATGTACTATACACAGGGCATTACAGCAGCTCATCAAGCTTCAGAAGCATGACCCAACCCAATCAGTTTAATTTCTAACGAGGTGAGAACAGCAATTTAACAGAAAGCACACAGGGCTGAATTTTCCAGAAATTGGCTAAGCATCAGTTTCAGGGAGTTTCATGGAAGGGTGTTCATCATGGCTTTCAGCGAGTTTGTCCACGCCATTCTCCACAGCTCACCTCATTAGCTATGCCTTACACCTCTATGTTGCCCCATCTGCTGCTTAGCAATGACATAAGTACTCATAACTGCTGGGACTGCCTGGGGTTCTCAGCATTGGCATCATTTTTAAAGCTAAGACATGCACTATGTCAAGCACTGCCAGCCAGGAGTTGCACTTCACAGTCCATGTAGTGTGAGAGGAACAAAAAAGGAATGGTTCTGAGGGAACGTCAGCGGTACAGCCAACACTTTACTGTAAACATAAGTTCACATTCATAACATTGAGTTCTGGGAAAGGGTCATTTGACCCAAAATGTTAACTCTGATTTCTCTCCACAGATGCTGTCAGACCTGCTGAGCTTTGCCAGCAATTTCTGTTTTTGTTTCTGATTTATAGTATTTCCAGTTCTTTCGGTTTTCGTGACAGTATTGTTATTTTACAAGACCATCTCTATGATCAACATGTATTGCAACTGCAGGTATAAAAACTAACCTAAATAGATTACCCATCCTTTGTGCCATAGCATCTTTAAATGCTGTCTAAAGTAATGTTATTCTTTCCCTAATGCCCAGCATGACGTAACATCTTCTCATTGTTCAGTGTGGGAGCAGCACATACTGCAAAACCTACAATGATTGAAAATGTTTACTTTCATTCAACGATAGCAAAGCACATAAAAAACAAGGAAAAGTTACATTTGGTTTTGGGAACAGACAGGGACTGTTTGCCTTTTATTGAAAACAAATGAATAATGATTTCACCCAGCTTGTATCTATTGGAACTGAATGCCAATTGAGTCCTGTCTGGCTGTGTTATGCCTGATACTGCACTGTTCGATCATGCTGAAGGTGGTGTTACTCCTACTTAATTTCTTCATCTTCCTTCCTAAATGACTGCTGTTGCTGTTCCAACTCCACAGATTCCATCACATCTCCTTGCTGCCTGCTTCAGTTGTGCAATGCACAGCACACTTGGATGAAGTGGTATTGTACTGGCTGACCCCCGTTGCAGACTGAGTTAAGCAAGTCTATCGTCTGCTCTATGGTGACCCTGGTTGAAGAATGGACTGCACTGTATCTATACTTGGCCTCAGTCAGGAGGTTTCATAATGAAGTCATCAGCCATAGTTTGTGCAGAATAGCCCTTGCCTCCTTTAATGCTTCTTGTAATGTTTTGACCTTTGAAACTGAGTAAGAACAGGGGACTTCAAAAATATAGGCATCATAGCTGCTCCTGGGGTTCCTGGAGAAACAAAATAGGTCCTTCATAATGTGAGCAGTCAGCATCCACATCACACACAAATCACGGTTTAGCATTGTCCTCCACAGAATAGGACGTGGAGGACCAATAGAATATTTCTATGTGGAACTTGGACATAGGAACCTTATTCTAATGTATGCCGCACAAGCCACATGGCATAAAATACAGAAGGCAATTGAAAATACAGTACGATCACTGATACTTTGTCCCCCAGGTCACCAAGGAAAGGCAGCATTGCATTTAATACATAGAAGTCAAGGTAAGCGGAAATCAGCTCTATGATCATTTTGTAACAATAATGATTGTTTGTGACCATGATTTGTGTCAGAAGACCTGTTCAGAAGATGTAACTATACACCTCTACAGCAGGTGGGACTTGAACCAGGGTCTTCTGGCTCAGAGGTAGGGACACCACCAATGTCCCACAATAGCCCCTGATTTGTATCCCACACAGTTGGACACTGTATACAAGTCACATGTACCTTACTATAATTATGGATGACTTCAACCTGTATTGTGAAAGTGCTTGATTACTGCAATTGCCCCTTGAAGGGCCTCACATTGCTCAGCCAGAGAAAGAAATACTTACTCTCACGACTCTGGTGTGGTCGCAGCCATTTTCCATTCCCATTGCACGTTTATTATTGACATAAGGATGGCAGGCAAATGCAGGCCACACTTGGCAAAGTGAGTTGCAAGCTCAGCCTGGTAGTCATGTGGCTCCCCCTCAACTTCCATGTTCTTTTCTTCCTTGCACTCCACATTGATTCCATTAGTATTGAGCTTCCACCCATTCCTTCATCTCCCAACATTGTTTCTTCACCCCAGCACTACAGCTTTGCCATGCCAACCATTGTGCTGCACTGGTTCCCACATCAAAGCCAGGGTGGTTGTGACTATGATATACCACTCCCTCCCCCCACAAAAACCCATATCGTCCGATGCACTATCGTCTTCCTCCCATGTGTTGAGTTGCCTCCCTTCACAATTATTGTCCCCTCTGCATCCCAATATGCTACGTCCAATCCCCACAATTGACTTTCCCAAACTTCTTACCACAGCAGTGGCCCCTGACAGTCCCTCTTGAAGTTCACTGAGTGGCCCCCAGGACTGAGTGGTGGCCCATCTCCTAAAATTACTTGAACAAAGAGTCCAACAGTTTGGTGACCTGGCCATTGACTGATCTCTCTGACTGACCTACCATGATTTCCTGGCCTGATTGAACTGAATCTGCAGGACTGACTGACTGTCGCCATTCCCAAGCTGTAATGATACAGAACCCCTGACTCTGTCCACACCAAGTGGCCAACTGGCCATGTCCAAGCCCTTAGACTGATATCAGACACTACCCTAGATTTACTGTGCTGGCATCCCTTGGCTGAAGGCTGTCTCTCTCGACCAGACTAAGGACTGGTCTATTTAAACTTTGAGTCATGGACTTTAGGCTGAAGCAATGGAGGTGTGTTGCCACTTTCCTGCTGGCACTTGGTGTCGGTGTAACAGTGACATAATGTAGCATGGTGCCATACAGCACCATGTCCACCCCTTTGACTGACCACTGCTGACAACCATGTCAAGCTGCCTGACTTTGTGTCTGTGCTAAACAGTATCGCAAGAAAAAAGTAGCCTAAGCTTTTAAGTTCTGAATGAAGCAGAAAAACACAAAAATTCAAGGCAAGGAAAGGGAGAGACAGTATGAGCATCTAATAGATGCAAAGTGAGTAAGTGCTAAGAGAGCAAGTGAGGAGCACTCAAACCCATATTTGATCCATCACAATTTTGAATTTTTCAGTTCATTTAAACTTGACTGACCAGTATAATGATTCAAGGAAGAGATCCATTACCATCTCCTCATCTCAACTGGACAATAAATATCAACTTGTCAGCATCGTCCACATCCCAGGAGCAAATTAAAAAACTGCATTTGACTTAAATACTTCAAGGTACGCAATGCTCAGCCAATGACTTTCCCTTTCTTAACTTACCATTTCAGGAGTCTGTGTTCTACCATTCTACAGTAGGGGCATTGCAGCACAATGCACACTTACCATTTCTGAAGAAGGGTCTAGGCCTGAAACGTCAGCTTTCCTGCTCCTCTGATGCTGCTTGGCCTGCTGTGTTCATCCAGCTCTACACCTTGTTATCTCAGATTCTCCAGCATCGGCAGTTCCTACTATCTCTTACCAATGCATTGCTGCTTTCCAAAAAAAACTGTAGCAGTGAAATGATCAAATCGAGCACAACTCTCAGTTTGAATCAGGAATCATACAATTAAAAGTAGGGCCTTGGTAGTGTTGTAGAAAAGAGAGGCCTTAAAGAGGTACGTATTTCTTTTTTAAGTTTTTAAGTTTGCATCACATGTAGACGTGGTGGCTTCAGAAGCAGTTAGCATGCTTGCCATCATTGCTCAAACCTTTAAGTATAGGAGTTGGAATGTCATGTTGAGGTTGTACAGGACGTTGGTGAGGCCTCTTCTGGAGTACTGTGTCCAATTCTGGTCGCCCTGTTATAGGAAAGATATTAGTAAGCTGCAGATGGTTCAGGAAAGATTTACCAAGATGTTGCCAGGAATGGAGGGTTTGAGCTATGAGAAGAGGCTAGATAAGCTGGGTCATTTTTCACTAGACCGTAGGAGGGTGTGAGGTGACCCTATAGGGGTTTATAAAATCGTGAGGGGTATAAATAAGGTGAATGGCAGGTGTCTTTTCCCTAGGGTGGGGGATTTCAAGATTAGAAGGTATATTTTTAAGGTGAGAGGAGAAAGATTCAAAAAAGACGTGAGGGGCAATTTTCTTACACAGAGAATGGTTTGTGCGCGGAATTAGCTTACAGGCGAAGTGGTAAATGTGGGTACTGTTACAATGTTTAAAAGACATTTGGGTAAGTACATAAATAAAAGAGGTTTGGAGGGATATAGGCCAAGTGCAGGCAGGTGGGACTAGTTTAGTTTAGGATTATGGTCAGCACGGACATGTTGGACCGAAGGGTCTGTTTCCATGCTGTATGACTGTATTACTCAATGAATCAATTGCTAGCATGTTATCCAAAAGACACAATTGCCATTGTCGAGAACTTGGGAACTTGACATTTCAGTGCAGTCATGTCTAGTTCTGAGCCCTGCACTTTAGGAAGGATGTGAAGGCATTGGAGAGTATGCTGAAAAGGTTTACGAGATTGCACTCAGTGCTAAGGAATTCCACTTATAAAAATAGCCTGGAAAGTTGTAACCGCTTTCCTTGCAGAAGAGAATGTTCAGAGGAAAACTGATTGAACTATTCAAAAACATGAGAGATCTGGACAGAGTAAATAGGAAGAATTGATTCCTACTTGTGAAAAGATCAAGACCTCATAGACACAAATTTGAAGTAATTTGTAAATGAAGCAAAAATTATTTTAAAGAAAATTTTCACACAATATGTAATTTAGAAATGAAGTGCACTGCCTGAGAATGTGGCGGAGGTAGGTTCAGTTGAAACACTCGAAAGGGAATCAGACTATTTTTGTTTAAAAAATAACACGAAGGCGAGAGAATGGCAATGAGGTGAGATGCTCATTTGAAGAGCTGGCACAAACGTAACCAGTCAAAATGGCCTTCTCCTGCACTGTAACAATTTTCTGGTTCTGTGATGTAGGCGAGGTCGCTTTTTCAGGGGTGCTGACCTTTAGATGAGTCATGAGATCCCATCTGCCTCTTCTGATACTGATGCTGCATATTAAAGATTCCACAGACAATTTAAACAAGAGTGAGGTGATTTCCTGACATGGTGACCATAATTCATACTTCAACCAGTATTGCCAAGCACAATTTCCCACTACTCATTTGTTAATTTCAGTCTGTGAGATCCTCATATGTACAACTCATACTTAAGGCTTAACAAGGCAACGACTGCTGTGATTCTGTCATATTTGCATGTACTTTTTATTTTTCTTTCATGGGATATGGGCATTGCTGGCTAGGACAGAGTCTTTTGCCCATTCCTAATTGCCTCAAGTCTATTTTGTATAGTTCACTCACGGTGCTGTAAGGAAGGGAATGACAGGATTTTGTCCCAGCAACAATGAAAGAAGGTTCAAAGTTCCAAATCAAATGGAAACCTAAAGAACTGTAATTCAGGAACAAAAACAGAAGTTGCTGGAAAAGCCCAGCGGGTCTGGCAGCATCTGTGAAAATCAGAGTTAACGCTTCTGAGAAAGGGTCACTGGACCCAAAAATCTGATTTCTTTTCTTCACAGATGCTGCCAGACCTGCTGAGCTTTTCCAGCAAATTTGTTTTTGTTCTGAGTCAAGTGGTGTAGGAGCTTGCAAGGGGACTTATAGAGATTTTTTTTCCCCCTTTATTCATTAATGGAATGAGGATATCACTGGCTAGGCAGCACTTTTTGTCCATCCCTAGTTGCCCAGAGGGCAGTTCAGAATCAACCACATTGCTGTGGGTCTGGAGTCACATATAGGCCAGACCAGGTAAGGATGGCAGTATCCATCCCTAAGGGACATTAGTGAATCAGGTGGGGTTGCCCCCCCCCATGACAATGGATTCATGGTCATCATTAGATTCTTAATTCCAGATATTTTTAATTGAATTCAAATTCCACCATCTGCCACAGCAGGATTTGAACCCAGGTCCCTGGAATGTTATCCAGGTTTCTGGATTAACAGTCCAGTGATAATACCACTAGGCCATCGCCTCCCCTTATAGATGGTGGAGTTCCCATGTTGGCCTTATGCTTTTAGTTGGTAGAGGTTGTGCATTTGGAAGGCACTGTTGAAGAAGTCTTTTGAAGCATTTCGAAAAGCTCCTTAGTTACAGAGTTGTTTGTAAACACTCATATTTCCTTATTACGTACTGGGTGGTATCCTTGTCTTTGGACAGCACCAAACATAGGGAGGGTGAAGATTTTTTTAAAATGCTTGTGAAATTTCAGGATGACTAAGTTTCACTTTGGCCTTCATTTTATTCTTTTCCCGTATGTGTTAAAGAGAAGGAAATTAAAGCAGCTGAACTAAGTCTGTCACTAAATAGGCTTGCCTTCAATTGTTTCAGTGCCTTGGGGATGATATGAGCAGTTCTCAGGAGATCCTTTCAAAGCAGATATTGCAAAACACCGCTGGTACAGTAGGTTTGGAAGCAAATGGTCGACATGCAATCTGGGATGACTGACACTTGTTTCCATAGCATTAACTTGGGAGAAGGGAAGTGCTACGATATTTGCTTAAGTTATATTTCAAACGTTGTCAGAAGTAGTACACACAGGAATTCTCAGCTCCAGCTCTATGCAGACATTTCACTGTGAATGTTTCGTACACATCTGACAGATAAACATTAGCAGTTTTTAAATAAAAGATATTCTCCCCAGATCATCCCCAATGGACTACAATCCACATTCAAGCCTTCCCAATTTGGCCCCAACCGTGATAATATCTACACTCATGGGGTTGAGATCCTTCAGAAGCGTTTCTCCCTGCGACTCCTGAAACACACACTTGCAGCAATGCGCCGGCATCTCCAGGCACTACAATCAAGCCTACGCCAGCTCAGAGCCTCCCTCTCCCAGACCTGCAAAGGACCTCTCCTGTTTTTTATTCTACGTAGGATCCACAACCTGAACTCCCAATTCTACTCAGCTTTATTGGACACTAAAAACCGTAAGTACAGTAAACTTACTGGTGCCTACCACCCAAAACGGGCTTCCTCCACCCCCCAAATCCCCAGCCGTACCCAGGACCTTCCCCACAATGGGTCCGCCGCCATTGGCCATGAGGCCACTATCGGAGAACCCACAGATGACGTCACATCCGCCACCGCCGGGTTCCCCACTTCCGGGACAGCAAGCACCATCGCTGCCGTTGCCACCGACACTGAAGTCACAACCACCCTCACCGCTACTGCCGCCGCCTACCCCGCTCCTCCTACCTCCGACGCCGGTCCGCCCATCACCGACGCGGACGCAACTCCACCCACCGCCGGCGCAACTCCGCCCACCGCCGACACCGGCACAACTCCGCCCACCGCTGCCGACGCTCCGCCCACAGCCGACGCCGACGCAGCTCCGCCCACAGCCGACGCCGACACAGCTCCGCCCACAGCCGACGCCGACGTAGCTCCGCCCACCACCTCCACAGCCAGCAGCTCCAGAGGAGACAGCAGCACCCAGCCCTGCCGAGTCTTCACCATCCCCCCAGACCTACCCCTTACTGAGGACGAACGGTCAGTCCTCAGTAAAGGGCTCACCTTTGTCCCCCTCCACCCACAGATCAACGAATACCGCTCACGCTTGGACATAGAGCAGTTTTTCCGCCGCCTCCGCCTCCACGCTTACTTCTTCAACCGTGAACCTAACCCTCCCTCTACTGACCCCTTCTCCCGCTTCCAACACACCCCCTCCTCCTGGACACCACCCCAAGGCCTCCTACCCTCCCTCGACCTCTTCATCTCCAACTGCCGTCGAGACATCAATCGCCTCAACCTCTCCACCCCTCTCACCCACTCCAACCTCTCCCCCGCAGAACGTGCAGCCCTCCGCTCCCTCCGCTCCAATCCCAACCTCACCATAAAACCCGCGGACAAGGGAGGTGCAGTTGTAGTATGGCGCACTGACCTCTACATCGCCGAGGCCGGACGCCAACTCTCCGACACCTCCTCCTACCGCCCCCTTGATCATGACCCCACCCCTGAGCACCAAACCATCATCTCGCAAACCATCCACAACCTCATCACCTCAGGTGACCTCCCACCCACGGCCTCCAACCTCATCGTTCCCCAACCTCGCACTGCCTGCTTCTATCTCCTTCCCAAAATCCACAAACCTGAATGCCCTGGTCGACCCATTGTCTCCGCCTGCTCCTGCCCCACCGAACTGATCTCCAACTATCTGGACTCCATTTTCTCCCCCTTGGTCCAGGAACTCCCTACCTATGTCCGTGACACCACCCACGCCCTCCACCTCCTCCAGAACTTCCAATTCCCCGGTCCCCAACACCTCATCTTTACCATGGACGTCCAGTCCCTCTACACCTGCATTCCCCATGCAGATGGCCTTAAGGCCCTCCGCTTCTTCCTGTCCCGCAGGCCCGACCAGTCCCCCTCCACCGACACCCTCATCCGCTTAGCCGAACTCGTCCTCACACTCAACAACTTCTCTTTCAATTCCTCCCACTTCCTACAGACAAAGGGGGTAGCCATGGGTACCCGCATGGGCCCAAGCTACGCCTGCCTCTTTGTAGGTTACGTGGAACAATCCCTCTTCCGTACCTACACCGGCCCTAAACCCCACCTCTTCCTCCGTTACATTGATGACTGTATCGG